GCTCCTATCCTATATTATATACATGTGATCAATCACCTTTTATAAAATAAAGTACCTATATATCATATAGTCTTAAAAACACGTGAAATCACAGCTGATAGAGTATGATAGGATTATGACCACTGTTAATACAGGTCCTGTGCAATTGCATTAAAATAGTCTTTCTCTGTCTCCCATCAAACTGTAGGGCATTGGAAAACGCACAACAAAATTCCTTTTCATTTTGCAAAACTATGTCTCATTTAACAAAGAAATGATGTTCTGAATAAGATAAAACCCCTTAAAATAAACAGCGTTTCTGTCAGGGGTATCTGTGTTTCCTAATTGTCGGACTGCCTCAGTAACTCACACTCCATGCTGTTACAACAGTACCTTGACATTGTTCTTTTTACAGATTCAAAATTGTATTTAGAGAGATATAAAAACTGGACTTATGGCTGCTAGCTATCCCTGATTAAACCTAATCAAGTATTCCTGTTAATTCCATTCATAGCTAATTTTATTCTGCAACAAGATCACCCATACCTGAAGTTAAGAGAGGACAGTTAATCAGCATTAATGTCAGGCTTTAACAGCCTCTGAAATAACTTTCCCAAGACACAAGATTATTATGAGATCGTGTAATTAAAGTCTGTTCTATAAAGCATAAATAGAAGGGCAAATCCTCACTGAGCTCTACTGTTTGCTAAATTTCTGAGCACTTTATTTTCATATTTTAAGGTTTTATTACATTTCTTTACCTAACATAATTTTCTAGTTTTTATGATTGGATGGAGAGTTTGGAGATTTTTTTGTGGGAATGAAGAAAGAAAGGGCTATGTTTATTTTTAAGAGGAAAAGGAAAAATCTATATTAGGAAAAAATTCTCTCTGATTCGTAATTAACAACAAACTGAAAGGGTGAATACTGAATACTTTCAAGAGCACTTTATGGTGTTCCATTTTAATTAGCAACAAGCAGTGATTGATTTCATCCTTCTACCAAGGCGAGTAAGAATAAAGAAATACACTATAGCCACATATAAATGAAAAAAATCACATTAACCCCTAAGAACTATAAATATTGCAGTATTCACTTATTGTCTGTAGTGTTAATAATAGAGAACACTTAAGAGTAAATAAACATTTCACATGCTAAAACCAATTTCAATTGTTTTCCTACAAATGTTCATTTAAACAAGATAGCTCTATCTCTAGGACAATTTAAAGATATACAAGCAAATATTCAGCTGGAAAAAAAAAGTGTTCTGGCGATTCAGTAGAGAAAATTCGATAAAAACTTAAGTGGTCCCAGACATCTCTTCAGAACTACTTTCCAACCACCTAACATGAAAATATACTAAACTAACAAAGGCTAAAGCAAAATTCAAATTGCCTAGATGCTATGGTATACCTTGGGTAAATAAGATAATTATATGCATTTCATAAATACTCAGTCTTTCTTTTGATCAGGTAAATCTGACACTGGAAGCAACACAGCAGTGGGAAGTTAAGGAATTAGTAAAAACACCGTGATGATAAAGGACTGTAAATGCAATACAGGTAAATATGTTCTCCTAGAGAGTATGTGGGAGAGTATGTATGAGACAATACACTACAGATAGGAATGGTCCTTCGCAGCTACTCACAGCTAGATTTCTTATGAACAAAGCTCTCTGGCTATTTCAGAATTTTGAAATAAAGTATTCTGGGGATACCTACATGCCCTAGAGCAAAATCATGCAACTACATAACTACATAACACAGCTCATGGAACTAAATCTAACCCAAATCAAGGTATTTTAATTCTAATCCTAATTAGGAAAGCCATTACCCAGAGTGGTATTTTTTCCCCTATAGATTCCTTCCCTTCCATTTCTAGTCACGCAGCCATAATCACACCATATTCCACATTCCACTGAGTACTGCACTATAGCAAAAAAATATCTCCAACAGCAAATTACTCCCTTATTTTTACTTGAGTTCTGGCTTTTCTTCTACTACATTTTAAGAAAAGGTATGCAGTTTCAACCCTATAACAAATACAGATTATTCAAATCTATGCAAACTAAATGAGACTACTGTAGAAGTTAACAACAGATAAGTTTTTACTTTTTTCTTTTTCTCTTTTTAAAAAATGAGGTGACTTCAAATTCCTCTTTGTCTATAATGTATCTTTTATTAACTCTTTTCTTCAGTACGATTTTAACTTAATCTGGTCAGCAATAAAATCATTGATTTCAAAATACAAAAAGGTTAACCTTCACACCCTGTTTCCAAGCAATATAGAAATGCCTCTGCTTCTATAAGAGCAGAAAGGTCTGTTCTGTGACGATGACATTTTCTGGTATGGTCATTAGGCTTTCCCAACAATAGACAACCATTTTGATTAATCCAAGGGTATATAAAAACACATTAAAATCTGCTCAAATGCCTACAAAGCTTTCAGATTTACGTGATGCTATATTTGTTAAATAATAACATAAACTCCTTCTATGATAGTCAGTGTTTCCAGTTCTATTACATTTGAGTTTTTATAACTGGTACTTCATTTGCTTAAAATAACTTTCTGTAAAATTCAATTCTCCACAGTAAAAACACTGCTATTAATCTTAATTACGTTTTGTCACTGACAGAAGTTAGGTAATCTGCTGTTCTTGCAGAGCACTATTATTTTTAAAGAAAATTATTACTCCCCTTAAAGGAAATGATTAGAAAATCCTATAGAAGGGGAGAAAAAGCCTCAAAGGAGAACTTCATTGGTATTAGAATATAAGATCTTAATTCATGACAGAAAATTGTATAGAATTCTGTATGAAAACTGTATCTATGGAATATATTTTTAACAGGTTTTACCATCTTTATATATGTAAATTCAAAATGAAATCTATCTATTTACTGTATCTTGAGTCACTGATGATGCTTTTATTGTACATTAAAACTTCAACATCTCTGGATTTGGCAATTTTCCATAACCCAGATTTTCCAAAAGACTATTTTTTTTCAAAAGACAGACTTAAAGGAAAATATTACTCAGTCTTCAAGTAAAAACAGAGTTCCTCAAGTCCCAGCAGTACTTACCAGAGCAAACAATTCTAGCACTCCTATAAAAAATAATTATTTTATTGTATTTATTATATTTCTCTCTATAGAACCTATGAAGTAAATAATAAATAAGACTGCTACCCTCTCTAATCAAACACAGTAAAAATATGCAGTACTTCACAATTGCTGCTCTAAGGATCTTACAGTCTAAATAGATACACTATGCAAAGAGCAGGGAAGAATGGCAAAACATAAAAGCATATACAGCAATGACAATAAACATCATGTGATTAGATGTGATTATTTCCTGGCATATCTAGACTGTATTTCGTATAAGCAATTCACAACACATAAGACGACAAAAAAATGAATATACTAGGGTGGTGATCTGAGAAAACAAAAGTTTTCTTTTCATGGTGTTTTTGTTTCCAAAATGGAAATAAATACTGTAAACATTGTAAATATTAAATTAAAAAGTCTGATGAGACAGATTCAGTAATACTACATAAAGACCCTCACTGGAATAACCAAGGACTGCAATTGATATCTTGTGGCTTGCTATTAAGTAACTTAAATGGTTTTAATGTTACAAAATATAAAGGGATTTCATTTTTAGCAAAAATATTATACCTTTTTGAAAGGTATAATTAATTCAACTAAATTTTTCCCTATATTATTTGAAAATTACCTTGTAATTTAACAAATGTATCACATTATAATATGTTTGCAATAAAAGCATTGTTTTGATCAAATGCATGGCTAACATTACACATGTCAAAAAGCTTCAAATGCCTATATTTAAACATGTGCCTGAATATCTGCTAATCCTGGAAAGGTACATACATACACAGGTTAGCTGAAATGCCCTTATTTGCTGTAGCATAAATTCTTGGTCTTTAAAAAGGGTACATGTTTAGGTACTTTTCTAATGACAATCATATTTAGACAGTATTATTTATACCTTTTTCATGTAGAACCCTGTACAATTCATGAGCCACAGGTCTAAAACTAAAGACTAAATATTTATGACAATAATTCTGACTGTATCTGTGTAATCAAGTAACATCAATTGCAGTTGGGTTTATTTTTCCCTATATAGCCTCTGAAAAAGGCTTTCAGGTGAAAAACAAGCCCTTCTTTATGTACAGACCTTCATAAGATTCTATCTCCTTGTCTCCATTGTCTAGGGAAAGTCACAAAAACAAAACAAACAAACAAACAAAAAAAAGGAACCAAAGCACAGGGGTTAAAAACAACAGAAGTTTTATAAAAGATACAATATACATGTTAAGAAGGATAAAAAAAGGAGTGTATATGGCCATTTAGACTGATTTTGCACAGCACATCTAATTATTAGAAGATGAAGGTGAATATATATTTGCTATCAAAAATGTGTTTATATACCCCTGTTTCTAAACATTTTGGAAAATGTCTCGATCAACCAGTGCTTTTAACAGACATTAAAGATAAGCTCAATCAGAGGACCAGTAAAATATGAATCACAAAATATCTTTCTGACCTTTTCCATTTTAAAGATTGTTACCTCTCTTCTTGCTCTTCCTGTTTCAAGAAGCAGATGTTTTATATTAGTGTTCTTTAATACACTACACGTGAACCCACAAGTGATCCACTATGTTCCCGACTCCCAAAAGAGCCAGAATTTTATCACTAAACAACACACCGAAGATCATTTCCTGTGCCTGTTGAAGTCAATGACAAAAGTCCTATTGAGTTCAGAAGGAACAGGATCATCCTAATAGTCCACCTTGGTTCATGTGTATTGCTGGTGATTCATTTCAGCCAAGAGTATTGTAGATATTAAAACATAATAGAAGAAAACACAGTACAAAATACAATACTACTGTCAAATCCTAATCCTGTACACAAAAACTCAATAGATTTCAACTCTAATGGTAAAAGAAAAATAATAAATATAACCAACCTTCATGAGTAATTTGGATAAAACCACACACTTACTTCTCTCCAACGTCCCCTTGGGTGGGAGCTGCGGTAACTGCCTGCCCCTTCGCCCTACTACCGGAGTACTTGATGGACTTGTCTGAACAGACCCAGATCGAGGATGTGACCTATGAGACACATATCAAAACAAACCACAGCCTTTAAATGACAAATTCATCCTTAAATATCATCAAGAACTGATAACATGACTAAGTAGGCTTTACATCACTTGGGGCCCTTGCAGTCCCAGAGTGAAACTGTTATCTCATTTCAGAAAAAGACCTGATTAAAAACAGAAATCTCTCCATGAAAAAGAAGCCAAACTAGGTCTGAACATCCATAAGACGCTTGTTCGTACAGTCAAGCCAGAAAACATGTTGTGTGCATATTCATGGGCATATGAATATAATACCCACATACACATAAATTTATCCACAAGTCAAATTCAATGATCTTTACTCAGCATGTATTTGCTTAAATTACATTTAAGTGGCAATGAGATTACATGGATTTGTCTAAACAAAGTAATAAACTGAGAAAAGACACTGATATTTGACTCTAACTCTCACTGGGGATTTGATGTTAATAACTGTAACTTTGAGAAAACAAATAATGTATTCTGCAGTTCTAAAATAAGGAGAGGCTTTACTGAACATCAACTAGAGCAAAATGCACTCATCTTTTTATTGTATTATGTTTAAGCTAAGAATAATGCATAGCAATCCTCAAAATATCAATCAGGGATACTCAAACAGGAACAATACAGACTATGGCACAGTAAAATGTAGTCAGAGAAAATGGTGGTTAAAATGACAATTAATAGACAAAGTTAGTACAGTCCATCTAAAGAAACTTTTTTTTTAAAAAAAAAATAGTTTCATTTGATGTTATGATGGTTGTTCCATAAGCAATGTCTGATGAACACAAATAATTTCTCATTCTGTAAGAGAAGAATATGATAGTTATGAAGTGCTTTATGTGGGAAACCATCCAGGATTCCTGATAAATGAGAAATCATAAACAAATGTAGTTAAATACAGCTAGCAAATGATTTGCAATGGCTGCCACACCATTATATCCAGAGTTGAATATAAATAGTGTGTTGGCACTGAAAAGGTTAGTATCTATTGCTACTAGTGATCAGCTAAGGATGAGGCGATACCAATTAGCTACTGGGAAAATAAAATGGTGAGCTGGTGGGGCAGGAGGGGATTAGTCTGATTGATTTGTCTGTTTCACCTCGGTAAGGCAGGTGAAGGAGGGGCAGATCTTCCAGTCATTAATGAAGGCATCGACCTGATGAGGTTTGAGTCAGGACGCTCTGTGGATCGGGAGCGGGAGTTGGTCCGCTCTAGCATAGGACGTTGCTCTGTTGATCTGGATCTTTGATATGGCTGTCTATCTGCTGCTTCACAATTCCTGTAATGTTAGTCAAAAAGCAGCTCAGATGAACTTTTCTATTAATTATAAAATATGCTGCATGACACTGGTTTGGAGCAAATCATTTTGTTATGTATATTTTTGGGGGGAGTAAATTTTCTGATAGAACTTCTTGATAACATACAGGTTTTTTATACATGTATGATTTGACTTGCTCCATATAACTTGCTCTTGATAAATGGGCTGAAATGTTTCCAATGTCTTGGTAATGACTATCCATGCAATAGTCTGTTTCCTGACATTAAAATGTTGGTTTGTGTCAATTAATACATCAACCTGGGAAGAAAAGACTAGCTGACATAATATTAAGTCTCACTAAAGCTTAGGACTCATTTAATTGTGCAGTTTAATTTTAATTGTGCAGTTTAATTTTGCATTATCCCTCATATTAGTAGGGGTTTTTTTAGATTGCATTATCTCTAGAGGTAGCACTCTTGTTTGTAGGAAACTCCACATTTGAGATGTTATAATTATCATGTAGCACTGTTAATTATTACTAAACTTGGAACGTCTGTCAAAATATAGACTGGACGATAGTGGTGGATTCATATGTGGTGCTCAGACTGTAATCCAATGAAAATCTGCATCATTAGTACTTGCAAAGGTTCCAACAACTAGAAAAAGTTTGGTTTGTAACTAAAAAAAAAAAAATCTCCTAACCCACAGTCTATGGAACTGTACTAAAACAGCAGTGGAAAAAGTTATCATTAGAGACACAATGGGGAGAAATTAGACTGAGTAAAAAAGAATTTCTTGATCGAGCAGTCTGGTCTTTTACTATTAGGCAATTAATCAAACCATTCCTTTCAGAAAATAATCAAGCCCCACCTTTTTTCACAATGCAATTGGTCTCTTTGAAAGGAGTAATGTTTACTAGCAACATCCAAAAATAAATTAAGGCATTTTAAAAGTAAAATCCATACCCTAATGGAGCTATTTCTTAAATTCACAGTCCTCTCAGCTCTCCTTGAGTAACCGAACGGCTACAGAATACAAATGGGGAATGTGTACCCTTCAGGACTTTTCCTTTAGCTAAGTCATGCCTTTTACAATGGAGTCAGTTAATACAATGAGTGGCTGGATGGTGATTAAGTGTAACAAGAAGTCAAATTTTAATCGGTATCAAGAAAGAGAGAGACATATCACAACCTCATTATGAAGAGTTTTATGTTAGTAACAGCATTTATTTCTAAAGAACATTGAAAAACAATATAGTGGCTAACTTTGCTGCATGGGTTTATAAAACAGCCATTACAAGCAATGTCTCTTCAGGCCTTCCATGAGGTCATAATTGGACTCCCAGAGCAAATGAAGGAATTGCCACAGACAGATTCAGAATAATACCACACACCATGAACCTATATCTATAAGCTCCTAACAAGCGAACACACCACAGTGGGACACATAATGGTAATTATAAGCTGAGGCACTAAAGATTGGAGGGAAAGTACAATGAGCCTGGCACAAAACCATGACAAAATTACCTCACTTCTTCTTCTATCAGCTCTGTTTCTGAATGGGAAGCTTCATCAGCAAAAACATCCACTGTCTCGCTTCTTTTACATTGTTGATAGACAAAGAAACACAACCTTAGCTTTAATATGAATGCTTTTTAGTTTATGTAACTGTTTAAGAGAGCTTTCAGTGCTATGGAAGGTGAGAAAAGTGTCAGCCACCTGCATGATGGTTAAAAAAATGACCATGGAATACATTCTTTAACTATGGAAGCAAATTTCAAGAAAAAATATTCCTAAATTCAACAAAGTTACAAAAGAGAATATGGCCAAGGTCCAGAAAACCCACCCCTACCTTGTTTACCCACATATTTAAGAAAATTAGTGAGCCCACAGAAACTTTCTTCTTTGGGTCTGCTACACACACATAGCTAGAATACTCTTTAGCTTGTCAGTGAGTGGAGGACTGCTAGGCCACACCAGCAGCGACTGGGCAATATGTGAGAGGTTTTATTTAATTTTCTGTTTCTCTCTTCTTCCAACATCCAGTAGGAGACATAGAGAGGAACAGGTAAGTAGCAACCACATGATTCTCACAAACACTTCATGAGAAGTTCAGACTCTCACTTGTTACTCTTAAGGCCTCTTTAGGTATAAAAAAATATTTTTAGGATTTTAGGGATCTGACCCATTTCCCGTATTAGAAGGCAGGGAGGCATTTTTACCATTAGAATTAATACTGATGGCTAGGCGTGCAGGTTTTGTATTCTGTGGATCATCACGGAGCCAGTGTAGCTAATCACTATGCTACCAGATATAGGCCTCAAAAATTTTGTATTCAACAGCTAATATAAATATTCGGTTTGCTACAATCTGCAGTTGGCATTTACTTTAAGTGGAAAAACAATCAGGGGTTCCAGAAGTGAAGGAGAGCGTGAATTTTGGCAGTGAACATTTTGCTTTGAAGCTTTGGCACTGCTGTTGTTTTGTAGACTGCAGGATTTGAAGACTAAGTTAAATCCTGAGATGAAACTGAGTTGTCACTCTCAAGTTCCAGGCTACATGCTGCAATCCTCTTCAAAAGCACCATAGCAAATGGAGGGCTATTTCAAGTGGACTTTCTTCCACTTGAAAGTTTCACTTTGTTGTTTTACACCATACACATATAAAGAACAATTCAACTGATAATTTTACTGTCTATTCTTCATCCTCACTTATTCTTTTGTTCTTTTAGCAGTAAACACATGTAATATATAATCCCAGTCTTCAGAAAAAAACTATCCCTTTTAAAGAAAAACTATCATTCCAACAAGATGCTTGGGTAGTGAAGGTCCTCCCTTACCACTGAATACAATTATGCATTAATATCACAATCCAGACATAAGCATGGAGAGCAAGTTAAATTGAAAACAGAAGTCTCTAACTTTTCAGATATCATTCCAAGACATTCTCAAAAATTATCTAGATGAAACTTTCCTCTTTTCTCATTGTAAATCATATCATACAAATTCCTAATTTTTAAAGAGGTATATATGATAGTCTTAGTTAAACTATTCAACATCCATATAATATTTTAATGTACACTAACACTGTTTATCTTTGCTAACAGACCTTTCATTACGAAAATACAGTTAATGAAATGTCAAATAATGACCTCCTTCATTTAGTATTGCCTATGGTAGCATCCTTCTACCTTTGCTAAGGAAAACATGCATGTGAGATGGTCTATTCCCTTGTCAAAGTATGCAAGTCTTGTAAGCTGACTCTCCCCTACACAGAAGAAAGAGTACAGCAGTGTTTGCTTCTAAGCCAACCCCACCTATCCCTATGAGACTGAGCTCCCTGTAAGTCACTAATATATGGAAAATCTTATGAGCTTTCACAATCTAACTTTATATTCCAAACCCATCAAATATTAAAATTAGAATCTCATAGTATTTAGGTACCACTGTAAACTCTAGTTACTACAGTACAGTATCTAACCAAAGGTGCTACCACACTTTATTTGATCTACTGATTTATCTGCATTGTTCTATATTCATATTCTGGAAATTTCAAACACTAACTCTTTTCCCAATGCAGAAAATAACCATTTCTAATTTTTAATTTTTCAGATTTGTTACTTTCTTAACAAATAAAAAGAATTTTCAACAAATGATTTTACTCATTGATCTAAACTTATCTATAGAGGAGGCTTTTTATAAAAGCTGAACATTTTCCAACAGTAAGCAATTGTAACAGCTTACAGAACAAATAGAAGTTATTTTTCCCCAGAATGACTGCAAACACAATTTATTTGAAAGCCCATGTTAATTTTTTTTTTACTGTGTACAAGCTATGAGACCATGCCAATCATAATTTTAGTATTAGGTTTTTCTTGTAACAAAAAACTGAAGAAATAAAAATAGAATAGCTGTAGGAATACAGTACACTAAAATCCAGCTCCTACTTCATATTTTTTCATCTAGAAGCACTGAGCACAGAACAAGAAAAATACAACAATACACTTTCTACTTATCATAATTTCAATATCCAGCTAATATACAAGGCAATACCTGTCAGTGTCTGTGGATGGCTGCTGGATTTCAATCCTTGGACATGTTATTCTTCTACTAGCTATAGGAACTTTGCTGTTTAGTCACAGACACAAGATCCTCTGTTAGCATAACATAGATAAGCATGTCTACAAACAACTGAGATTTCTAGTACCAAGCAAACTTAAATTTGAGTCATAAATATTGCAATGGAAAATGGGAAGGAGCAGTACACTGTCAAATGTCTACATAAACTGGTGATGGGATAACTCACCAAATCACTCATCTACACCTCTAGGGAAACTTAATATAAAGTTATGTGGTGCTATAGTTTTTAAAAGCCAGGAATGTAATGCTTTTAGGTACTCTGGTTAAGGAAAAAAAAAAAAAAAACAAGGAAAGAAAGATATTTAAAGACTTTTGTGTTGCAGTAATATTCTATCATGATTTATATATATATATGTAATATATACACATACATGCATACACTCATGATCTATTCACATGCAGATTACCCTGGTGATAGCTACAAGTATCTCTACGTGCCATTGACAGGCACGACTAAACTGTAATACCCCAGTGTCTGAACTAGTTTTCTACCAGCTGACTCAGCTAAGCAGACAAAGAACTCTGCTGCAATTCCAGGCACGCTGTGCTCCACACTCCTGTGTGCACACTGCTACATCTACAGAAAGTCAGAGGCTTACAGCTTGCTTAAGTATCTGCACATGGCATTGCAGTCACTTTGGTGACTCTGTTGTAGACATATCTAGTCCTGCTAACACATGGTGGCATTGCACAATTATAAAAATACTGACAGAAAGCACAGAAATCTGTACCTATAAAGATTTACTCTCCAAAATATGTTTCATCGTTGATATATTTACTGAGGAATAGCAAAGCCCTGCTTTAAATAGGGAGTTAGGGCAGACAGGTTTTTCAATGTTTTTTTCCAACCTGAAGTAGTTTATCATTCTATGGATGCAGTCAG